CTTCGCCCCAGGATTGACCCGTGTGCATATCTACCCGAGTGATATATATTTAGATAAGATTTTTTTAAAATAATTGTTTGTTATTATCATTATCTATTTGTTTGCATCAGTATAATTTAATCTAATCTTTGATAGAGGGCGCTGTTCGTGAGCTAAGTAGAATAATTTAAATATATAGTTTTAATATTTGATTTATATATTTTTTAAAATAGCCTATCGTCTTCCCCGTATTTTTTTACCTATGTATGGAAATTTTGGTTTGAATTAGTGAACTACTGCGAATTTGTATACTGGACATACAAACAAACAAACATACAAACATTCATTTATATATATATAGATTTACGAACGGAAAAATATGTCCAGGGTAGCCTAGTGGACATGGCATCTGCCCGGTAGACGGAACACTGTGGGTTCGATTCCCATCCCTGGACACTTTTATTTTTCGTTTTTCATTACTCTTCACAATTCACCCTTTCATACTTCCTCCCTAAGGTTAGAAATAATCGTTATTTCTCCTTAAAATAAATTTCGATTTTTCGTTAAAAAGAAACACATGCGGGATAATTTTCAAATGTCGTTTTTCAATCATAAGCCCCATTATATTGTATTATAAATTCTCTCTATCAATAGATAAATATTTTTAACTCTTAAAAAATATTCTCTGGTATATTATAGCACCTATGGCCTATATAAATCTCTTATTTTTCAAAACGTTTCAATGGATATCAACCACAGGATCAAAAATGAAATAAATAGAATGATTCGAACAAAAATATAGTTGCATATTTTAGCGCTCTATCTATTATAAGAAATTTGACTTTTTGTTTTATTTGAAACTATTTCCAAAAAGAAACATACGCCACAAAAATATTTCAAGAACAATATTTTGAAAATTTTATATATTCTATCTATATTGTTTATTTTCTGATAAAAGCGAGTAATGTTCAGCGAAATATCGTAAAAAAAGGAATTTCTTTTGGCATATATGTAATTTTAATTCTGTTACCTACTTTACTACAATTATTGTAAATAGTTTCACGCGCAATTATCCTGATCGGATATAGCGTGTCTTGTTTGTAACTGGTAATAAATAAACTAGTGAAGAATATATTGTAGTATTTTTAATCTTCTATTTAACAGAATTCTGATTTCAAAATTCGAAACTATTTTAAAGGCGTAAGATTCTTTTTGAAATTAAACAATTTCTCTCTACTGCCCTTACTGCAATGGAAAAATTATTGGGAGGGCCTGGCTCATCAGTGGTGAACCCTCTCAGCGGTTTCGCCAGTTTAATCTACCATACCGCTGTTATATTGCATTTTTGGAACTTCCTTTTATAGTGATACTTTTGGTAGACTCTTGGAATGGGTATTTTAGAAGAATTATTTTATTTAATAGATTTATTTCAAATGATGGATTTCTCTAAACTTGTGAGATATTCTTATCAAATATATCTTTACCAAGTTCTTTATTTTTTCAGAGATTCCAGAAGTCGCCCTCCTTTACAAAAAGTTCTCAGAGCGGGGATAAAATCCGAGCTAATTATCCTTCAACATTAGGAATATGCTCTTCCCAATTAAATGGCTTTCTAACTCCAAAAATTTCTCTTTTTTAAAAATATTCCTTCCCCTTAAAAATTTATATTTAATGGAAAAATTCTTTAATTGATAGTTTTATTACATTAAAAAAACTTCTAGTTTAATTAGATTATTTAAATATTCCATCTCTAACCCGCGTTTTTAATTATATACATTTACATCTTATATACATGTTTGTTATTTTTATATAGAAAAATCTTCTTACACATAGTACAAACAATTATAAATATAAAATAGGCGTTGTTGTTAATTTACAAAATATTCACACCCTTATTTTACAAAATTTATTTTGTCCATAATATAAATATATATTAGATAATAAAAAGGCATATATTGGATTTAATAAAAGATTTAAATTTAATATATGATTTTTAAATCCAATATATGCCTTTTTATTATCTAATTAATTAAATATGGATTGCTCTATTTTCAAAATAAATAAATATATATATCAGTTTTTTTTCTGCCTATTGAATATGAGCAAAGATATTTTCAAACTTAATTCTATTGACGTTATGTGGCGCTGTGTTTGTTGTTGACACACTTTAAATATGTTATAATACCTTGATAAAGGTTGGCGTTCAACCAACTGAAATATTGGTAAAATAAATGATATTTCGATCCAATATATGTCTTTTTAATTAAAAAAACACATATGTATATATATAATAAGGTACAGCCTGTACCACGCTGACGATATTAAGTGGGAAAAGTGAATATTTCCTTATATACATATTTCCTAGTCAGAAATATCATGGTTTAATGAAATTTTTCGGAATTTGTTAGACTCATAATGAGTCAAAAATATTATTGAAGCGAAATTTTACTGGGATCAGGTGGATAAATTAGAGAAAAAGGAATCTCCTGATAGTGCAACTAAATTTTGCTGATGGCTTGCGCCATCTGTCGGAATAAATATCGAATAATATTCTTAAAATAAATATTTTGAACGTTTACCGATTGTAGAAAGAGCGTTGAGAACATGACGTCCCGTCACACACTCAACTTCCCAAGTTCCAATTGTCCCAGTCCATCCTCACCAGCTGTGCCACTAATATACCACAATATATTGGTTAATTGCATATTTCCCTCAGGTCATTATGCAAATACGAAGATTAATTTGTATAGAGATGAACACACACTAGGTACAGAAGTCGGTACATATTTGCATAATTGGATTCTCTCTCGCATCTTCTAATTTAATGCTGTTGCTGGGGTCCTAATTTGGTAAGGCGTCGCTAGTAAAGATTAAAAGTTCAATTAGAACTTATCATGGCTTTTAGTGATAAGTGATAACTCTACGTGCCTCAGTGTTCTTGGTAAACACCGAGCTGTGGCTAGGTGTGTAGCATCAATGACAGCTATCGATCAAACTCATACTGAATATTCACCTCATTGATTATATTTACATATACCTCTCTTTCTATATATTCGATATAATAATATAATTAACACATTTTTACCTAATTATTTTCAATATTTTAACATCTATATTGTTCAGAAGATAGAGGTTGCCTGGCCGGCAATTATATTTCTGTGAAAATAGACACTTGGGCTAGTTATAATTTTTTTTATTTTCTCAACGTTTCGACAAAATTATTTTGTCTTCGTCAGGAGAAATAAATTTTAAAAAAGCATTTGGCAAGGCGTTAATTTATCTTGCCTTAAATAGATTTCCTTGTCATCCTGAAATTTGTCTTTTCTTATTTTCTACGTGACCTTTTGGTGGAGATGCTGGGTAGATTAGGGAAGACAAACTGAAGATCGCCGAGAAAACCTTGAAGCCATTGTGCTGTGATCTACATTTCCAAAGGCTGACTTCAGGATTCCACCGCCGTGTCAAAGCCAAGACCTCCCTCCAAGATGACGATGTCCCTATAGACGATATGACGACAAAGCCGCTCTTCACGCCGCAAGAAAAAAAACGCAAAGCTTCTAGGGACAGAGTTCCAAGACTCCGAGGGAATCCTTGGCAGAAAGACGTCAGGTCCATGTCAGTATCTACAGTATTTGCAAGCTGTGGGTCACAGCTCCAATAGTGAAGGAGCTATGTAACAAAGTATTTATTATTTTATTAACCGATTATTAATTTTTATGTTTATATATTTTATTACTCTGCATAAACTTCCTTCATTGTATTTTATCAATTTTAATTTTGTGCGTGCCTTAAATAAATTGCTGTGTCATCCTGAAGTTTGTCTTTACTAATTTTCTACGTTACAATATATATTACACATTTCTCTACATACAGTTTATCACATATACAGTGTGTTTTAACTGTAGTTGTGTGTTTTTATTATTGACACTTATGTCAACCACACAATAAATCTTATTAAAATTTTAAATAAAAGATACTTCGACCAGTAAATCTTTTTATTGTCTCGACGTTTCGACAAAAATCTTTTGTCCTCGTCAGGAGCGAACAAAATTTAAAACATTTGGGAAAGGGTTAGAAATTATTCTAAGGCTGCAAGGGCGTTCTCACGCGGTATTTCAAATTTTGTACAACATCTAAAGCACGAGTCAAAAAAACACTTACTCTTTATAGGTCACATTTATATTTTCTTCTCACAGAAAAATATTCAAATTTGTTATATTCACAAAATATTAATTTTAAAATATTCACAAAATCATATTTCTATTTATATTAAACAAATACATTTTTTATTTAACACAAAAAAATTAAATAATTTCATAAATTCTAAGAAAATAAAGGAATAAAATAATTTCTGAATGAAAAAAAATATATTCTAACGTTTAAATTCAAGCACAATTATTCTCGTATCATAGAGTAATAAAATGAAAAGGGGCATTCGGCCACTCTATATCTTCACCTAATTGTGCAGACATAAAGGAAAGCCTCTATCAAAAGGTGTTGAAGTGAAGACCATTAGACCTATGCTGTTAAAACCCCCCACATAACTGAGAAAGTTTAAAAGTCGTAAAAAAAGAATAATAACTCTCTTTTATTATTATTATTATTATTACATATTACTAAATTAAAAAGCTCTAAAACCCTACTTCAGTGTTGTAATTGAATGCATTTTTAAATGTTTTATATAAGTGATGATTTATATATTTTATTAAATATCAAAATATTATTTTAACATTTTTTTAATTTAATAGTATTTTTCCCGTTGAAGAGAGCGTTTTTAAAAAAAAAATATTGTAACAAAGTATTCATTAAGTTTTGTCTATGAGTGTATTTCAGAATGAGATATCAAGTGATTAGATAGCAAATCATCAAATCAGCAAATGAGAGGCATATCTGGTATAAAAGAGATAAATTTAATAATGATTAACCACTTAGAGTTCATCTTCTGTGTGTAATCACAAACCTCTTACAAACTACGTATCAAAAATGTTCTACATAAATTGACGTTATAAATCAAACAAACATTTAGCCTAGTGGACATGGCACCTGCCCGGTAAGCAGAAGGTTGTGGGTTCGATTCCCGCCCCTGGACACTTTTATTTTTCCGTTCGCCATTACTCTTCATATTTTCACCCTCTCATACTTCATTCAAAAAAGTTAGAAATAGTAAATATTTCTCTTTGAAATAAATATTGATTTTTCACAAAAAAAGAAACTTATGCGGTGTAACTTTAAGTATTGTTTATATTTATATAATCATGTAAAATGTAAATAATAATGTTATCGTGATACTCCTGTGGAAGGACTGACAGGTCCGAAAGCTAGAGAATAAAAAATTTGAGCAAGAAAATTGAAGCCCTGGAGACTTTATTTTCTTTATAAAATAATAATATATATATATAAATAGTATTTATTATTAATTTGTTAAAGAGATAATCCTGTTGAAGAATTGACAAGTCCGAAAGCTTGAAAATAAAAGGTTTGTACAAGAAACATAGCCCTGGATAACCAAGTATAAACAAAATTGCCTCTGTCCCCTTAAAAAAAACAACAGACGACCGGCAATATCAAAGAATATACGCGTACTTCTTTAAGATTTGTTCATACACATATGAGTATAAATTATTAAAAAATATTTCTCTTGCAAAAGTTGGCAGAAGGTTACTGAAATGTTTAAAAATGAATAATAAAAAAAGGTTAGAGTTAATAGCTAAGCATATATATATAAACAGAATTTTAAGAGTAAAAAGGAGTACTTGGATCTGTAATCTGCAAGAATTTGTAAATTAAGTTTACTGTGCAATAAATTGATAAAGAATGAGCAAACTCTCGAAATATTTTGAGAAAAAAAATTGTTTTATTTCTTTACATATCCAGGCACGTCTCTTTTTTATATGAACTTATTTAATAGATCGCCTTTTGATTCAAATTATATAGTTAGCTATATTAACACAATAATCAATACTTTAACATATCTAAAATTGAATATACTCCGTATAAATCGATATAAAAAATGACAAATAATATAAACATGTTATCATATCAATATAATAACACACAAACACATAGAAATACATAAAAAGAAATAGAATTCTATAAATTGTATGTCAAGTTTTTTTTTTTTTTGAATCGTAAGAGTAAAAATCGTTAGGACAGACTTCAATAAATCAATTGGCAAAACTAGACTAATCAATTAACTAAATATTAGTTTTATGTTTAGTTGATAAGTTCTCCGTGGGATATTGATCTTGTATTGATTGGTGCTAATCGTTAAGGTATCGGAAATCTTGATTCTTTCTCTCCATTCCCGACGTGTGAAAACTCACAGCGACTTATAAACATAATACATTATTTATTTATTTATTTATTTCAACACACAGAACGCAATATCCCGGCTAGGGATAATTGCGTCTATTTACATTTTTTAAAAACAGAAACAGTTATAAACATATTATACAATAAAAAGTAATCGAAATAAAAAGAAAAACAATAATATATATTTAGGAACCTGAACCTTTCAGGTTTGAAAGATAATCATAAATATATTTACAAAAATAGTTAAACCTATGATAATTCTCTCTGCTATTTACAAATTGATATAGATCTACAACATTGTCTGTTGTCTAGCGGTGAAGAAGAGTGGGCATTCCAGCAGTAGGTGTCTTGAGTCCTGGAATTCGTTACAATAATGACAGCTAGAGTCTTCAACCGTGCCAATTTTTTATAAAAAATCCATTAAAATTTCATAATACATCCTTAGTTTTATTCAGTATTCAACCATTCTGGAATATAGTATCGTTCACTGTGTATTTTTTAATTATAAATTCTCTTTTTGGTGGTGTTGGTGGTCTCTTGTCCACCATGGAAAGGGGAGGAGAAATTACCCCGTTATTCAGCCACATTTCAGAGTTCCCTGAATTATCTTTATGTTTTAATTGAATGATTATTAAATTTAGGATTCTTGTTAAATGTGGTTTACATTTATTTTATAAATTCCTATATATAATATAATAATATAATAATGAACATTTGTTAAAGCAATATTCGTTGGGAAAACACTCACATATAGAGGCGTAACTTTACTAAACGTTGAAAGATGAGAAAACATTTGAAAGAAAAACATATCTTCGAATAACCCTTTTTGTCTTATTTTAGCGATTAAAACATTTGACAAAGATCCCTTTATTCCCTCGAAATCTCACTCTTTTTTAAGCCATAATTAAAGTTACGTGTTGTTAATCCGAACAGTGATATTATCTAAATATTTTCTAGTAATTCTATTATTATTATTTAAAATAAAATGTTGTGTATGGTACTTTGTGAACGACATTATTTAGACTTTTCTGTGGACTTGTAAATATGCAAATGGAAGAGATCAATGTAGTTCCATTATGTCCCAGCCACTGATCGCCTCAGGCCATCTACTCCATTATACAAACACTTTAATTGGATCATTTCCTACTGGTTTCTCTCCTCCTCAAGTCATCGTCGGGTTTAATAGGAATCCTTATTTGCATATCTCAGACATATATAGACTCTTCTCAACTAATTTATTTGCATAGTTATCTAATATGTTGATAAGTACTCTACAACATTTATCAACCTATTTTTCATATAGCTTGAGTTAAAAGGTAATCCATTGAATATGTTTATATAAAAAAGACATTGATCTGTGAAAGAAAAATATGTTTTTTTCTAAAAGATATTTCGAGGAATTTGTTCCCTCTTTATTAATATATCGCATAATAAACGTAATTTACAGATTTTTGTAGATTACATGGAAACAATTTTGTTATTGACAAATATTTATTATTTATTAACAGATTATCAATTTTGGTATTTATATTATACTACTCTGAAAACTTCCCTTATTGCTTCTCTTGTGTTTTATGAACTTTTATTTATTCTTAAATAAATCGCTGTGTCATCCTGATGTTTAGTTTTCCTAATTTTCTACTTGACAAGTTCTAACGATAAAAATAAGAGAATATATGTAAATTTAAATTGCCATCTATCGATAAATTTAGTAACAAAATAAATAATATGTGTTTATTTTTAAATAATATCATTAAATATTATCTTTAATGTACCTCTACAGACTTATAAGCTTATGTCCATAGGTTCGCTAAACACCCCTAAGCTGCCTTCCATAGAAAATACAGGGTATATAACAAAACGAATCCAATACAATAGTAGAGGTGTCTGGAGATAAAATTTGGCGAAACCGCTGAGAGGGTTCACTACTGATGAGCCAATCCTTCTCATTCAATAACTTTTATCATTGCAGTAATGTCTATAGAGATAATATTTTATGATATCATTAAAAAAAGAAACACATTGCCAGTAAATTTAATTGTTACAAAAGTATATATACACAAATTTCGTGCTAAATTAGCGATAAAATCTTCTTATTTCAATAAAGAAAAAGAGTCTGGAATATATTCATCGAAGTTCCCTACAGAAGAGAATGGTGTTAATTCAGTTAGCTAAACCAAATAATGGGAAAATTCCACAGAGGTTGTTCCGTGTTTTTTATCGGCCTGGATGTTTGTAAAGACCTCCATTTAAAAGAATAATTCATTAAGATTCCTCTAACACAGCGGGGTTTAGAGAGAAAACTGGGTGAATTTGAATTAGTTTGAATATCTACTTGGGTGAGGATTAAATGGACCTCATTTAGTCCTTTTGATACGCCCCATTGAAATCGATTTTTTTTTTTAAAGAAAAATCGACAAAAAAATTCCACGTGTGCCATTTTACTGCGAAATTGATCTTTTTTTAAAGCTATAAATAGTTTCCGTTTGTTGAACATATTTCGGGTATAAAAAATATGAACAATTTTTGACGCGTATGATTCATTTTCTTTTATAAATAAATCAATGTTCTACTGTCTTTGCTGCAATGATAAAATAATGGGAGGGCCTGGTTCATCAGTGGTGAAAACTTCCAGCGGTTTCGCCAGTTTAATCTACCATCGTATAAATATTTTGGATATAAAAAATATACCTTTTTTATGAACCTTTTATATAAAGAGGTAAATATATTTGTTTATAAATTTATATAGTAGAAAAAACTATAAAAAGAACACAAAAATGCGACTTTTAAAGAAAATTAAAACTGAAAATGTATTGATATAATAAATTTCGATCCTTTTTTTTATGTCTTTATAATCTCTGGTACACAACTCTTTTACATATTAGTGTGATATTTATATTAGTTTAGTTAACTTTTAATACTGTATTGTTGGTGTGATAAAAATGGTCTATTTTCAACAGTGAAGACCCGGTTTTGAATCCCACATTGGGTACTTCTTTTCTAAAGAGATTGTTTAAAGGACCACCGATTCTTGTAAATTCCAACCCAACAAGTGGGTAAAAGTTACTAAACAGTGCTCTGGCATACTTCAAAGTTCAAATATCGAACTTCTCTCTACATATGTAGACAGAAGTTCGACTTTTGAGCTCTGAATCTTTACATGTGTAGACATGTGACGCACATGCAGTAAAACAAGTCGTTAACTATTCAGCATGATTATCATGGCCTGTACCACACGCTTGTACACTAGAGCTAATAATAATAAATAACTTTCAATGGACTACTAAGAGGTGTTAAAATTAATGTTTTTTTCCTAAGATTACTGTTGTTAGAGATTAAAATACTCATGGACAAACCTTAAGGAAGTTGTACCTTCTAGCGTGTATATCGGGATTCAGACAATAACTCTCAAAGATATTACAGTGAATTTTAGTAAAGACATACGAGATAACTAAGAGTGAACAAAATTGTCTTTGTTTCTTTACAAAATAAAATATGACCAGCGATATAAAAAGACTTTTCACTTCTTTAAGTTTTGTTCATGAGTGTATTGCCACGTGGAAAATTAGGGAACCCCCAACTTCGGGATAAGACAGCAATTTATTTAAGGCAAGAACAATTAGGAGTGATAAAACAAAAGATAACCAAAAGAGAGAAGTGTACAGAGTAGCAAAATATAAACATAAAAAGTAATACTGCGTTACAGTTTTTTTTTTAAGTTAAATATAGGCTTTATTATTGTTTTCATACATTTATAATCATTTACACTCTATTATATA